AGTCTAACAATTCTAAATTAATCTACTTAATTTCTAGAGGTTGAGTTTCCATACTGGGTCGCCCTTACGGCCTTCTCCCCTTAGCTTCCGCTCAACCCCTAGTACACACACCACCACACACACACACACACACACATCTACCCCGCCTGGGACTTCTGTTTTCTCTTGCTTTTTAGATCTTTTTGCTTTTCTTTTTCTTCCCTCGTCACATTCATCCTTCCCTCCAACCTTTCTCACTCTCCTATCTCCTCTCCCTTTTCCTCTCTTTCGCTTCCTTCTCTCCTCCTCTTGCTCTCCTCTTGCTCTCCTCTTGCTTTTAGATCTTTTTGTTTTCTTTTTCTCTCCCTCGTCACATTCATCCTTCCCTCCCAACCTTTCTCACTCTCTATCTCCTCTCCCTTTTCCTCTCTTCTCTTTTCTCTCTCTCTCTTCCTCTATCTCCCTCATCCATAGTTCTCCCTCCCTTCCTTCTCCTAGAATCTCCTAACTACCTCCTGCTAACTTCTCTCCCTTTCACTATCTACCTTACATCTTTCCCATATATGTTCCCATGACTCTTCCTCTCCATCACATAACCTGCATTTTCTCTTCTTCCTCCTCCTCCCAGTACCTACTTTCTAACATCTCGTTTCCCAGTCTAAACCTCACTACTCTCCTCAATCTACTCTCCCCCCCCAACCCTTTCTTACATAATCTGGCACTTCCTTCCCCTCTAATCTCCTTGTACCATTTATATTCTGACCTTTCTATTTTTTCCTCCCTTTCCTTTCTTTGATCCTCCCAATCCTTCCTTAACAATCCCCAAACCATCCCTTTTCCTCTTCTCTCCTCTCTCTTCTACTTCCTCTATCCTCCTTCCTCTTTTCTAAAGTATTCTTCTCTTTCCCTTTCCCATTCTGATTCCACCTTTCCTTCCTTTGCCCTTTCTCTCTCATTTCTTCCCAGCATTTTCTCGCTAATTCGCTTCCTCTTCCTTCCTCCATTCTTTTCTCAAAGTTCCACGCTCTCTTCCTAGCTTTTATCCTCAATTTCTCTTTACTTACCTCCTCTCTCACTATGTATCTTGGTGTCCTTTTTTCTACCCTTAGTGTCCACCTCAAATACCTTTTCCTCCATCCTTTCCATCCCTCTCTCTCCTTCCACCCCTTATATTTCCACCCCTTAGTTCATCACTGTTCACACCAACTTGTCAAACAGCCATAACCTTTTCCCCCAAACTTTTTCAAACCTTCTTTTCCTTATTCCTCATACTTATCCCATAATAATTGCTGCTCTCCTCATCCTTTCCCTCACCTGTCCTTCTTGTCCTTCATTCCTCTGTAGCCTGTATCCCAGATATGTAAATTCCTTTACTTCCTCCATTTTCTCTCCTTTCCATCTCCATTCCCTTTTCTTCCACCTTCCACCCTTCTCCTAAACTTCATTACTTTCATCTTCTTCGCGTTCAATTCCAACCTCTTATGATCTAAGTACTCTTCTAGTCTTTCGATCATGCTCCTCAATTCTTTCTCCTCCTCTACAAGCAACACCATATCATCCACGTACGCTAATGTATATATCCTTTTTTCACCTAACCTTACTCCTCCTCTTTTCACCTTCATTTTTTCCTCTAAGTCCGCTATCAGGATATTAAATAGCAATGGACTCAATAAGCACTCCTGCCTTACTACTTTCTCTATCCAAAATTTCTTCCCTATTCCCCCCCCCCCCCTATCTTTATCCTACAAATTGTCTCCCTCATCACCTCCTCTACCCTTTTTCTCAATCCCTTCCTTATTCCTCTCTCTTCCATTGCCTTCATTACTTTCTCCCTGTCCACTGAATCGAACGCTGCCTTTAAGTCTACGAACATTGCCGTCATCTTTCCACCTTTTCTTTTCAATTGTCTATTAATCAGGTAATTCATCACATAGATGTTGTCCATCGTAACCATTTCTCTCCTAAATCCCATCTGGTTTCTTTCACTATCCCTTTTTTCTCCACCTCCTTCCTTAATCTTTCCGTTAGTATCATTATATATACTTTATACAATGTTGGCGTCAAGGTTACTCCCCTGTAATCCTCCACCTCTTTTCCTTCTCCTTTCTTTCTTATCGGTTGTGCCATTATATATTGTGTATAATTTTTGCAATTTACAATGCAGCACGTTGGCATCGTACCATTATATTGTGTATAATTTTTACTCCGCAAATATAACGTAATATTTTGATTATACTTAGATTATTGTTTATACATTATGGGCAACGCCATGTTGCTTTTTGTATTTTGGATAAATTTCTAATTGTTCGAAGAATATGACTACTAACGCATCTTTCAAATTGCTACGCCTGTCTTATTACATTATGCTTGTATGCCGATTGGTTCTGTCATTGCGTTTACTTCGTGAGCGGCTGTCATTGCATATTTTGACAGTTGTATGTATCGAGGGATTAGTATAGTGATAGTAATGTATATTAAAAGGATTAAAGGATTTGATGTATATAATAGTGAAAATCTGATAAATAATTGTTTATTAATTTTATGATTGAGTAGTTTCGACTACAGTTTCTCAGTTAGAAAGGGAAATAGAAATTCGGTGAATTAAAATTATATATATATAGAAATTCAGTTAATTTAAATTATGTGCATAATAGAAATTTAAGAATTAAAATTATAATAAATAAGAAATATATGTCGGCTCTCAATATTATTAATAATAATAATACATGAATTTTAAATCGGCCAATAGAGCCCAAGCGCAAAAAATTAATTATTTGGAACTGTATCTCTTTGTTTGAGATTACTAAGTTCCATACATAATTAATCTCGAACTTGCATATGAAGAAAAATAGGCAAGAAAAATATAGGTCCGAAAAGTCGCTGAAGCGGGAATCGAACTCGCGTCTTTCACTTTCCGGGCGACTGCTCTTACCAACTAAGCTATTCAGACCCTTTCGATCCTATATTTTTCATTTGCCTTTTAGTAGATGTTAGTAAATAACGCCATGATTAGGCCCAGGCGTAAATAAATAAGAAATATATGTCGGTTCTCAATAATTTTTCAAAGAATATAGGTAAGTAACATAAGGTTATTACACATTATTATTGAGCATCATAAAATTGGCAATCACCGGCATTAACCTATAATTTTTAGAATAATTTTTACACGTGCTCGTGATATTAATGCCTCTCATCTTCATATAATTTAATTTTATGTTAATTTTAAATTAATTTGTTTATTTTGTATTTCAGTTTAAATTGTATAATTATATTTTCATTTTGCCAATAAAAAAAAGCATAAGACATGAGGAAGTCACGAGGAGACAAAATTTGTTATCTTTGATAAAGAGAGTTTATCGCATTATACCGGCTTTACTTAACAAAGGTATGAGGATGCTTGTTCACATATGTAAATACAATAATAGATTTAATCATTTTGATACTTAAATAATTTTCATTTGCGAGCAAACAAATACCTGTTCCAAAGTCATAATGAATTTTCTCTCGTAACTACCTTATAGTTTATATTCTTTATATATATATATATATATATTTGTATGTATATATACATATTTATGAGTATATACGCAATGAATATAAATTGTAAGACGAGAGAAAACTTATTATGATTTTGGAACAGATATTTGTTTGCTCGCAAATGAAAATTGTTACATATTTATATGTATATATACACAAAGATTACAAACTGTAAGACAGTTACGAAAGAATTTATTATGATTTTAGAACAGATATTTGTTTCCTCGTAAGTGAAAATAGTTGAAATGACACAACGACTAAATCTATTATTATTGTATTTATTTGATCCAATTTTAATTAATTATATCATAAGTGTAAAAAGTATATTTAATATACTTTTACATTAAATTTAAATATTATGATAAATATAGATTTACAAATAAAGTTTGAAATTATTGTGGTTATATTATTTGTGTGTGAAATTATAAGTATTGGTATGATCTTGATCATTATTTAATTAATAGTATTATATATTAAATATTAAAAAAATTTGTGAGTTTAAGTTGATTTGCAAAATGCTTCTTCTTTTTGATTATTATCCAATTTTAATTCGTTTTACATAGTATTATGTTGTTACACAATATGTATTACAGTTACATAACTTAATTTTATTATTAATTTTAATATTAATTTTTAATTAATTTGTTTATTTTGTATTTCAGATTAAATTGAATAACTATATTTGCATTCTCTCTCTCTGCCAATAAAAAAATGCATAAGAGATGAGGAAGTCATGAGGAAACAAAATTTATTATCAAAGGTATGAGAATGTTCACATAAATGCAATAATAAATTTAATTATTGTGTTACTTAAACAATTTTCATTTGTGAGTGTTACTGATTTAAGTAAAGTTATTATAATATTTTTTTTTCTTACATACACATATTATATTTTCTTCTTTCGTACTTAAATCACGATGATGTAGCGTGTTGGAAGCTTGCTCGTCAAAACACATAGAGAATAATGCGAACAATACAAGGTGACTTATATCTGTTTACTTCGTTTCCAATACGCTACATCATCTCAGATTCAGTATAATTTCGAACGTCGTACCATCAAGACGTGCTCCGAAATCGAATGTAAATTTTCTGGGTTCCTTTATTTTCTGTATATTTTTTCACTTAAATAAAGCTTGGTATTCAAGTAAATCCCAGTTATAATTAAATCCTCAGTTTAATTATTAATACTAATCGATCAAAAACAAATGGTCTTTCGAGCCGGATTTATGCTAATAGAAGAAGATGTATAGTTGAAACAATATCTCGTCTTACTCAGTTGAACAGAACAACTCTAGTGAACAAAGTGTCTTTATACACGATAATCAAAATCAAACACGTACGCAGTAACTCAAGGAGTTCACGTGTTATGCGGAACAGCATTTCAGCGAAATGAACACTTCACATCAAAGTTTATCACAGTGTACGATTCGAGCCACACTCGGTCAGTAAATCATTAGCGCGACGCGCTCCGGAAAGGAGAATTCGTACAATTTAAAGTGCGAGTGAAACACGCGAGGAACAAAGAGTGGTAGTTGTACGATACAATTGTCTTTCTCTCGCGTCTGACGAGTGGACTATTGCGAGGCGCGGATCGTGATATACACGTATTAATTTAAATTAAATGAAGTAGTTAAAAGTGAACACGATCAAAAAGAAAACTGTGTAAAAACGAAGCGATAAACCGGCAAAGTCACATATTTATGCATCATAAAAACTTCGAACTTACGTATTCCTTTGTCAAACGGTACGACGTGTTATACCCTGATCACCATGGCAAATCTTCGAGGAACTCAAGGTCAGCCAATTATCATTATTTGGATTGATTTCGAGAGCTACAGACAACTTCAGGAAAGTCGGCAAAAACGAAAGGACGGTAGCCAAAGCGCGAAGCCGGTCAATCTACGAGGCTATTGGGAGCAATTTCAAAGGCAACATACAAAAATACTCTGTCTCAGCGATGAAAGTATACGCAGAACAGATGAGTATTACAAGGACAATGTTTACGAAAGCACACTGTGCGCCTTTGATTTAGCATCGGACTCTTTCGTGGAATTTATAAATAACATTGAATCGCAAAATCAATCTCAGCTTTCGCGAGTTAATCAATCTAATCCTTACATCGAAAGTGAAGCTTTCTCCCGTATTAAACTCGAACGTATTCCCGTCCCTCAATTTAGTGGCAATTATTTGGACTGGGCGCCCTTTCGAGACACTTTTTTATCGTTAATACACACGAATAAATCATTGTCTAAAGTAGAGAAGCTTCATCATTTGAAAAATAAGTTAAACGGCGAAGCCGCTAATGTCTTGAAAAATATAACAATTACGGATGCTAATTATGAAACCGCTTGGAAGCTAGTTACCAACCGTTACGAACACACCCGTGTCATTGTAAATGCACATTTGCAAAAACTAGTTATTTTCCCAAAGTTGACGTAAACCTCCGCGATTGATTTAAAAAATGTACGTGATGATGCGGATAACATTCGTGCGGCGTTAATTAATCTTAAGCGCCCAGTCAATGCATGGGAAGATCTTTTTAATTTTATAATCATTTCTAAATTCGATCGCCATACTTTGCGCAAATGGGAAACGAAAATCAGCGACGAGAAAAATATGCCTACTTATGAAGAAATTGAGAAGTTCTTATCTGCTCGCATCCGAGCAGCTGAAGCGATTAGTACGACTTATACAAATGCGAAATCAAAGCAGGAAAAATCGATAAAACTGAAAAAGGTGCAAAATCACAATCAGTCGTAAAATCACTTCAGATAACTGCTACTAAATTCAAATGTCCGGCGTGCGAAAACTCTCATGCTTTATATCAATGTCAAAAGTTTATTAATTTAAGTGTCGATGATAGACGATCTTTTTTGAATAATAAAAAACTTTGTTTTAATTGTCTAGCTCCGGGACACTTGTTACAACAGTGCTATTCAAAATGAACTTGCAGCGTTTGCCAAAAAAAACATCATACAATGGTACATAATGATGCTAGTACTAAAACCTTTTCAAACAAACAAGAATTTTCTAATAAATCAATAGATCAAAATACATCAACTAGCACTGTTGTGACGACTGTGGCCAAAATTCTAACAAATAATCTTGTTACAAATTTACATTTTAATCAAACTATCTTACCCACCGCGATGGTGGACCTACATGCGAATGGACGTACACTGCGGGTGAGAGCACTACTCGACCAAGGCTCGCAGGTGTCCTGTATCACTGAGGCCATCGTGCAATTGTTAAAATTGAAAAGACAATCTATCTTCGTTGAACTAACTGGAATCGGCAGTAACCGTACTGGTAAAATAAACTCTGCCGTGATGTGTAATATATCACCTTATCAAAATAATACACGGTTAATTCTCATTACTGCCGTCAGCCTCACAAAAATCACTAATTATCAATCAGAACCTATTCGCTTTGACCCTGAATGGACTCATCTCACAGGGCTCGATTTAGCCGATCCTGAAATGCACCAACATCATAATATTGATCTTCTTTTAGGCGCTGATATTTTTGGCGATATAATTCTCCAAGGGGTACGCACAGGTATCACAGATACTCCTACAGCCCAATTAACATTATTAGGTTGGATTATATCAGGTGCGATATCCAGTTCGTCTGGAAAAGGTCGGTCTAACAATCTCACATATTGCATTAATCACATCAATTTACTTAATTCTTTAAACGAATTTATCAAAAAATTTTGGCGGTGGAAGATGTACCATCTGACACTCGTCTTTCTCCAGACGAATCTATCTGTGAAAAACATTTTCAAACGACACATAAACGGCTTGAAAGTGGACAGTATGAAATTAAATTACCGTTCAAGCTGTCTCCTCCATTTCCTATTGGAGAAACCAAGTCAATCGCTACAAAAATCTTTCTGAAAAATGAATCTCGACTAAAGAACCGACCCAAGCTATACTCCGAATATCAAGAATTTTTAGCTGAATATAAATCACTCAATCATATGTCTCTCGATAACGATGAATCTGACGATAAACAAAGGGTGTATATTCCTCATTTGCCCGTCGTTCGAGAATCAAGTCAAACCACTAAATTACGTGTTGTTTTTAATGCCTCATGTCGATCGTCTAATGGTTCCACATTAAATGATTATTTACATGTCGGACAAAAATTACAGTCTGATCTCTTTGCGCTTATTTTACAGTGGCGTTTACACCGGTATGTGTATTTAGCTGATATCACAAAGATGTTCAGACAAATTAGAGTTTCTGATAACGATTGCAATTATCAACAAATAATTTGGCGAAAACATCCCGATGAAGAACTTAAAACATATCGACTCAAAACCGTTACTTACGGAACAGCATGCGCTCCCTTTATTGCCAATCGTATACTCAAACAAATTGCTGTAGATGAAGGAAAGAATTATCCGCTTGCTGCTCCAGTTTTGGAGAATAACTTTTTTGTAAATAATGCAATGTTTGGAAGTAACAATAAAAATTTACTCAGACAGACTCGCAATCAACTTATTAATTTGCTAAAATCGGGAAATATGGAATTAAGGAAATGGGCGAACAATTCAAAAGACTTATTACATGACATACCGGAAGCAAATCATGGTTTAGCTATTAGTAAAGACTTAAAACAGGACGAATCACTGAAAGTCTTGGGGATTGCTTGGAATCCCGCCTCAGATACTTTGTATTTTAAAGTATCACATGAAACCCTCAAAAAATATAATAAACCACTTTCTTTCTTTCAGTTCTTGCTAAAATCTATGACCCACTAGGTTGGCTTGCTCCCGTTACGATAGTGGGCAAAGTAATCATACAATCTTTATGGAAATTAAAAGTAGGATGGGACGACGAACTACCTAGAGATACAGTTAATGCCTTTCTCGCCTTTTATTCAAAGCTAAAAGATCTAAATAACATTACGATTCCTCGTTAACAAGGAATCACGTCGGAATCTCCAACCATACAACTACATGGATTCTCAGACGCTTCGTCTATCGCTTATGCAGCTGTCATCTATATAAAGGTTATATCAAAAGATGAAAACAAGATTTCTCTTCTCTATACTAAAACTAAGGTTGCTCCGCTGACTCCTCTTAGCATTCCACGTATGGAATTGTGTGCAGCAGTTCTTCTTTGTAAAGCTATGAATTACGTTAAAGCTTCCTTAAAATTATATAAAGTTGAAATATTTTGTTGGACAGACGCCTCTGTAATATTACACTGGCTCAATGATCACCCGAGCAGATGGAAGCTCTTTGTAGCGAACCGAGTATTGTATATACAACTCAATCTTTCAGAAGCAAAGTGGCAACATGTACCAGGAGAAGAAAATCCGGCAGATTGCGCATCACGCGGTATTACTGTAGAGAAATTAAAATTACATAATCTTTGGTGGCAGGGCCCAATGTGGTTACAACACAATGAAAATCAATGGCCTGAGCAGACTCAAGTGCCTCATTTATTCAATAATTCAGAGAGCGAGGAAAAAGCTAGTGTCGTTACCAGTTTCAAACGTCAGAGCAACGTGCTCGTGGGGGCTTATCGATATTTTATCCTCCTGGACTAAACTTTTGAGAGTCACTGCCTACTGTATTCGTTTTGTACGGCGTTGTAGGAAGCTGATTGAAACAGAACTACTAGATTTGGCCTTAACTGGAGAGGAGATCTTACTAGCAAAAGAATTTGTAATTAAAATCGAACAACAACGATGTTTTTCTCAAGAAATTCATCTTTTACAAGATCACAAATTTGTAGGCAATCGGAATCTTTTAAAGCGTTTAAATCCATTTCTAGATGAGAAGGGCATTCTTAGAATTGAAGGACGACTAAGAAATGCAGATTTATCCGCGTCTTGTCGATTCCCGGCGATTTTGTCAAGAGGTAGAATAGCGTATCTCCATCTCTCACACACACATACACGTTGCACGGTGGTACTCAGTCAGTCTTTAGTCAAATCATTCATTTATAAATGCATAACATGCGTAAGACAGCGAGCTCGGGTTTCGTCTCAGCTTATGAGGGATTTACCCGAATCCCGCGTCAAGCCGAGTCGCCCTTTTTCGCACGTAGGTGTAGACTATGCAGGTCCATAGTGAGACTGGCTCCAGGCCGCGGTTGCAAATCATAAAAATGTTACTTAACCATTTTCGTTTGCTTCGCTACACGCGCAGTACACCTGGAGCTCGTCTCGGACTATACCTCAGAAAGCTTTCTCGCAGCATTTGATAGATTTGTGTCCCGCCGAGGCTTACCCTTATGCGTGTACTCAGATAATGGTACTAATTTTAAAGGTGCCGAAAACAAACTTAAATCGCAGCTTCGTCAAGTGACTTCGGATATCAATTTTAAGAATATTTTCGCGTCTGACGAGATTACCTGGAAGTTTATTCCTCCTGGAGCTCCTCATTTTGGAGGACTTTGGGAAGCGGGAGTAAAAAGCGTAAAATTTCACTTAAAAAGAATCATTGGAGAATTCAAGCTTACTTACGAAAAGTTCAATACACTTCTATGTAAAGTAGAAAGCTGCTTGAATTCACGTCCTATACACCCGCTAAGTGATGATCCCGAGTCATTTGACACGTTAACACCAGGACATTTTTTGACTGGGTCTCTGTTGAAGGCAGTACCTACGCCGTCTTTGTTGAATTTATCAGAAAACCGATTGTCGCGCTGGCAGACCGTACAAGCTATCACTGAGAGGTTCTGGAAAGTTTGGTCATCCGATTATCTTAATTCTCTACAGACGTGCTCAAAATGGCCAAAACATAGGTCTAATTTGAAAATTAATGATTTAGTGCTAATTAAAAATCCAAATTTCCCTCCAACTAAGTGGGAACTCGAAAGGGTAGTAAAAGTTTACCCGAGGACAGATAATCTAGTGCGAATGGTCGACGTAAAGACTGTAAATGCGATTTATACTCGCCCCATCTCCAAACTCTGTCTACTACCGGTCGCCGAAAATAATACTTTTTCTGTCGAGTCGCTGCAGTAAATTGTCAAATATCGACCAAACAATTCACACGCCTAACGCATTATTAAAGTTTCGCTTAAATTTACATTAATTCTAAGTATTCTCTAAATGGTTCCAAATATGTGAAAATGCTCTCACACGGCGGGTGGTGTGAGAGTATTTAGAAAAAAAAACCATGTAAGTCATTACAACTATAATCTCACACGATGAGAGAGAGTACCTTAACTGATCAGATTTGATTTTGATCAACCGCTCGAGGCGGGTGGTAATGTTACTGATTTAAGTAAAGTTATTATAATATTTTTTTTTCTTACATATACATATTTATATTTTCTTCTTTCGTACTTAAATCACGATGATGTAGCGTGTTGGAAGCTTGCTCGTCAAAACACATAGAGAATAAAGCGAACAATACAAGGTGACTTATATCTGTTTACTTCGTTTCCAATACGCTACATCATCTCAGATTCAGTATAATTTCGAACGTCGTACCGTCAAGACGTGCTCCGAAATCGAATGTAAATTTTCTGGGTTCCTTTATTTTCTGTATATTTTTTCACTTAAATAAAGCTTGGTATTCAAGTAAATCCCAGTTCTAATTAAATCCTCAGTTTAATTATTAATACTAATCGATCAAAAACAGTGAGCAAACAAATATCTGTTCCAAAGTCATAATGAATTTTCTCTTGTAACTGTCTTATAGTTTGTATTCTTTATATATATATATATACTTTATATTTATATATATATACACACACGCATTATTACACACATGCACATTGCACACACGCATTAGTGCGCACATCCACATTACACACACGTATTATTGCGCACATGCACATTGCATGTTTGCTATAATGCGTATGTGCAAGTTTACAACACGTACGTGTGTGCAATGTGCATGTGTGCAATAATACGTGTGTGCAATGCGCATGTGTACAATAATACGTGTGTGCAATGTGCATGTGTGCAATAATACGTGTGTGCAATGCGCATGTGTACAATAATACGTGTGTGCAATGTGCATGTGTGCAATAATACGTGTGTGCAATGTCATGTGTGCAAAGTTATATGCGCAAACACGTCTGTAGGCAAGTGGGACCCTCCCCCTCCCGTATATATACATATTTATAAGCATATACGCAAAGAATATAAATTATAAGACAGTTACGAAAGAAAATTTGTTATAATTTTGGAACAGATATTTGTTTGCTCACAAATGAAAATTGTTACATATTTATATGTATATACAGGGTGAGTCATTTTAATCTATGGACCCGAATATCTTCCAAATTACGGTATCTACGAAAAAATGGTTTAGATAAAAGTTGACCAGGACAGAGAGGGTCATTCAATTGTACCATTGGTTTTGACCTTGAGGTCAATTTTGAAGGTTATTTCAAGGTCACGATGGATTTTTTAAATGGGACACCCTATTTTTGACTGCGGAATTTGAAAGAGCGGAAAATTTTACATCAAACTTGTCTTATGAAAAAATTGTTTTTGCGACCTTGGAAAGGTAAAAAATAAAGGTAAAATGCCTGAAAAACGATCTGGTGTACTTTTTCTGAAATGACGTGGTTTTCTGGGTAACACAAATGTGCATAATGCTTAAACAAAGTCAATGAATTGTAAAAGTGTAAATCACTTTGACTAGCTTGACCTTGAGGTCAATTTTCAAGGTTGTTTGAGGTTTATAACGCATTTTTTATTAGTAAACCCTATTTTTGACCGCAGAATCCGTTTCTTGACAATGGACTCTTAAACAATGGCACTTTTTACATGAGCATAAGGATTTTTTAGTTTTTCGACCTGACCTTTTGAAGGTCATATCAAGGTCAAAAGCACTTTCATCTTACTTTTAGCGTTACCCGGAAACAACGACGTGGACGTAGTAAGTTCTGTTTCCTTTAGGGTGCTTGATTATTGCGAGTCCCCTTGCCTCTCACGTCGGGGTGCTTGATTATCGTGAGTCCCCTTGCCTCTCACGTCGGGGTGCCTGATTATCGTGAGTCCCCTTGCCTCTCACGTCGGGGTGCTTGATTATCGTGAGTCCCCTTGCCTCTCACGTCGAGGTGCCTGATTATCGTGAGTCCCCTTGCCTCTCACGTCGGGGTGCTTGATTATCGTGAGTCCACTTGCCTCTTACGTCGGGGTGCTTGATTATCGTGAGTCCCCTTGCCTTTCACGTCGGGGTGCCTGATTATCGTGAGTCCCCTTGCCTCTCACGTCGGGTGCTTAATTATTGTGAGTCCCCTTGCCTCTCACGTCGGGGTGCTTGATTATTGTACGTTCCCTTGCCTCTCACGTCGGGGTGCCTGATTATCGTGAGTACCCTTGCCTCTCACGTCGGGGTGCTTAATTATCGTGAGTCCCCTTGCCTCTAACGTCGGGGTGCTTGATTATCGTGAGTCCCCTTGCCTCTCACGTCGGGGTGCTTGATTATCGTGAGTCCCCTTGCCTCTCACGTCGGGGTGCTTAATTATCGTGAGTCCCCTTGCTTCTCACGTCGGGGTGCTTGATTATCGTGAGTCCCTTTGCCTCTCACGTCGGGGTGCTTGATTATTGTAAGTCCCCTTGCCTCTCACGTCGGGGTGCCTGATTGTCGTGAGTCCCCTTGTCTCTCACGTCGGGGTGCTTGATTATCGTGAGTCCCCTTGCCTCTCACGTCGGGGTGCTTGATTATCGTGAGTCCCCTTGCCTCTCACTGACACTGTAATTCAAATGAATTACCCACGGAGTAATTGTTCAAAATTACCTCCGTTGGCTTCGAGATATAACTGCAATCTGTTTTGAAAACTATCCTGTTCTAAGCAGGGTCTAGCAGTCTAGCTCTAGGAATGGCTGCACAAGCTCTATGAATGCGGTCCATAAAATCATCTCTTGTGGTTGGTCGTTCAGCAAAAACATTTTTCAAGTATCCCCATAAAAAGAAATCGGGCGACGTCAGATCTGGTGAGCAAGGAGGCCATTCAACTGGACCCCTTCGTCCAATCCATCTGTCATTGTAACTGGCATTTAAAAAGGCACGTACAATGAGTGCATAATGCGGTGCAGCATCATCTTGTTGAAGCCACATTCTTGCTCTTGTTGCTAAGTCAACATCTTCTAATAAGCCTGGTAAGTGATCTCTTAGCAACGATAAGTAACTGTGTCTATCAATGTTCTCTTCAAAAAAATAAGGTCCAATCAAATAACCATTTACAATGCCGCACCACACCATAATACTCCATCGATTTTGATGATCTATTGGCCTATACCAGTGGGGATTAACATCTGACCAATAATGGCAGTTGTGTCTATTAAGTTGTCCGTCACTATAAAATTTAGCCTCATCTGAGAAAAGCACATACCTAAAAAAATTAGGATCATCGTGTAACATTTGTAAAGCCCACTGGCAAAAAGCAATACGCATCAGATGATGATTAGGCTGTAAAGCCTGCGTAAGAGTTATGTGAAAAGGGTGATAATTTAGAGCTCTTAAAATTCTAACAACAGTTCTTTGTGGTATACCTATTTTCCTTTCAATCTGGCGAGTACTAACATGAGGATTAAGGTGAACTATTGCTAAAATAGTTACAGCTCGCGCATCATTTTTGTCATATTCATGATGTTGACGTTGACGAACAAGATGTCCATTGCGAGTTCTTTGGACTAAACTACGTATTGTCATATCAGTTGGATGTCGCCTTTCAGGAAAACGTTGAGTATAAAGCCTTGATGCTGCATTGTAATTGCTATGACACTCCCCTAAAACTAATATAATATCAACAATCTCATTAGGACTATAATCAGCCATTCTGGAAAGGTAACTTGTGAATGTAATTACCTACATACCTTGTATGTATGTTTGGAATTTTTAAATTTAAGCAACTTTAAATAGTAAATTTTTCAATTATGCAGAAGTGAGTAAGAAAGAAAAGGAATAAAATTCTATTATAACAATAATTATAAATCTTAAATCAAACGTAATTGTTTAGTTTTTTTCAATCGTTGATTATTAGCATTAGGTATCGGATACCTTACATCCGCTGCTCTCGTAGTAAAAATGGATTTCCATTTATCCTTTCGACCTGACTTTTTGAAGGTCATATCAAGGATCCTAATTTTTTTAGGTATGTGCTTTTCTCAGATGAGGCTAAATTTTATAGTGACGGACAACTTAATAGACACAACTGCCATTATTGGTCAGATGTTAATCCCCACTGGTATAGGCCAATAGATCATCAAAATCGATGGAGTATTATGGTGTGGTGCGGCATTGTAAATGGTTATTTGATTGGACCTTATTTTTTTGAAGAGAACATTGATAGACACAGTTACTTATCGTTGCTAAGAGATCACTTACCAGGCTTATTAGAAGATGTTGACTTAGCAACAAGAGCAAGAATGTGGCTTCAACAAGATGATGCTGCACCGCATTATGCACTCATTGTACGTGCCTTTTTAAATGCCAGTTACAATGACAGATGGATTGGACGAAGGGGTCCAGTTGAATGGCCTCCTTGCTCACCAGATCTGACGTCGCCCGATTTCTTTTTATGGGGATACTTGAAAAATGTTTTTGCTGAACGACCAACCACAAAAGATGATTTTATGGACCGCATTCATAGAGCTTGTGCAGCCATTCCTAGAGCTACCCTGCTTAGAACAGGATAGTTTTCAAAACAGATTGCAGTTATATCTCGAAGCCAACGAAGGTAATTTTGAACAATTATTCCGTGGGTAATTCATTTGAATTACAGTGTCAGTGAGAGGCAAGGGGACTCACGATAATCAAGCACCCCGACGTGAGAGGCAAGGGGACTCACGATAATCAAGCACCCCGACGTGAGAGACAAGGGGACTCACGACAATCAGGCACCCCGACGTGAGAGGCAAGGGGACTTACAATAATCAAGCACCCCGACGTGAGAGGCAAAGGGACTCACGATAATCAAGCACCCCGACGTGAGAGGCAAGGGGACTCACGATAATTAAGCACCCCGACGTGAGAGGCAAGGGGACTCACGATAATCAAG